GGTTGCTGGCAGACGTGGTGATAGCAGTGGTGCTGGTGTCGTGGTTGTCCTGCTTGCAGCTAGACCCTAAACCCTAATCCCTAAACCCTGAAACCCTGAAACCCTAAACCCTAAACCTTTAACCCTAAACCCTGAAACCCTGAAACGCTAAACCCTACACCCTGAAACCCTAAACCCTAAACCCTAAAGCCCTAAAGCCTAACGTCCTGAACCCTAAACCCTGAAACCCTGAAACCCTAAACCCTACACCCTGAAAGCCTAAACCCTCAAGCCCTATAAAGCCTAACGTCCTAAACTCTAAGACCCTCCACTCCTAAACCCCAAAACCCCTAACGTCCTAAGCCCTGAATCTCAGAGTCCTAAACCCTAAGCCCCTGAAGCCGGAAACCCTAAAGCCCTGGTGAAGCCCCAAACCCCAAAGCCCTAGAGTCCTAAACTCTAGGGGTTTAGGGTTTAGGGGCCCTACCCATAGGCCCCATACTAGTTCCTTTTTGGCATTACGTAACCGGATTATAAATATGAGCCCCAAAAAGGAACTACTATGGAGACTATAGGTAAAATCCTAAATCCGATAACCCCATCAAGCTGTAAACCGCTTCCACACGAAGGAGATGGCTAAACCCTGAAGCCCCAAAACCCTAAGGCCCGGAAGCCCCAAACTCCAAAGCCCTAGAGTCCTAAACTTTAAGGGTTTAGGGTTTAGGGTCTAGGGGTTTAGAGTTTAGGGTTTAGGGGTTTTATTTATAGGCCCCATACTAGTTCCTTTTTGGCATTACCTAATGGGATTATAATTATGAACCCCAAAAGCTGTAAACCGCTTCCACGCGAAGGAGATGGCTAAAGTCATGGCGGAGTTGGGGTTGAAGCTTCAGAAGGCCACGGGGGAGGGGAGGGGAGAGATCGGGGAGGGAGGGAGGGAGGGAGGGAGGGGGGGGTTAAGGGTTTCTGGGTTTAGGGTCTAGCGTTTTAGGGTTTAGGGTTTAAAGTTCAGGCTTCAGGGTTTACGGTTTAGGGTTTAGGGTTCAGGGTTTAGGGTTTAGGGTTCAGGGTTTAGGGTTTCGGGTTTAGGGTTCAGGACCTTTCCAGCAGGCGATTGCCATTGGAGGATCAAGGGCACTCCTTCCACATGGTTGTAGGCCAGCAGCTTTATGCCTTAGGGTTTAGGGCTTAGGCTACCAACACCTACTTTTTTGTAGGGTCCCTCTAAATTCTACATTAGGATCCAATATAAGAACCTACAAACAAGTAGGTTTCTGGTGGCTGAAGGTAGGGCCTAGGCCCAAACTCAACTACCACTCAAAGTGGGCCGGGCAGGCAAAGTTTCTGACCATGGACGCGGATGGCGAACTGAAGACACTCGGCTCCTGTCTCACACAAAGGGTTCTTAGAGGTTTCAATCCTACACCCCCTAGGCCCTAAGCCCCCTAAACCCTAAACCTTGAACCCTAAAGCAAAACCTATGCCCAAGAATCTTGAACTTTCAACGAGGGTTCTCATTTAGGCTTCTAGAGCTCAGGCTTTACTGTCGAAAGCTTGGGGTTCAGAGCCTGACATGAAAGCAAATCAGGGAACCGACGAACGCCCCAGTCGTTAACCCTAAACCCTCAACCCTAACCACCCTCAACCCTATAGGCCCTAACCCCTGACCCCATTGCTTCCGGTCGAAAGCCTGGAGCCCTAAACCCTGAACCCTGACGCCGCAAAGCCTTCAAAAAAAGCAGAGCCCTAAACCCTACCCATAGGCCCTATAGTAGTTCCTTTTGGGGATTACCTAATAGGGTTCTAAACCCCAAAAAGGAACTACTATATAGGGCCTAAAGGTAAGCCCTAAAGCCCAGACCACTACCATCCCAGGTATACGGACGAGTACGGCACGGAGCCTGGGTTCTGGAGTACCACCGCTTTCTTGGGTTTTGGGTTTGGTTTTTAGGGTTGTGGGTTTTGGGTTTAGGGTGTAGGGTTTTGGGTTTAGGGTTTAGGGTTTTGGTTTTAGGGTTTTGGGTTTTGAGTTTTGGGTTTGGTTTTAGGGTTTTGGGTTTAGGGTGCAGGGTGTAGGGTTTAGGGAGTGTAGGGTGTTGCCTTTGTTGGGTCCTGTTTCCGTTTAGGAACCATGGCGGAAATCAAGAACAGACGCTTCCTATACTCTAAGCCGGAATCCCGGAGCTCGAAACACTGCACCCTGTTCAGGGTTTAGGGCTGAGGTAGGGTTGAAGCCTGAAGCCTTCAAGCCCTTAAGCCCGAAACCCAAGCGCAAGAAACACCAAGGACCAGGATCGACAGGTCTGGAATTTGACCCCGACGGAAGTCGATTCCAAAGTGGACGAAGTGCAGCTTCCTGGCGTGGGATTTGGAGTTTTCGGGATGTGGGTTTTGGGTTTAGGTTTAGATTCTGGGCCAAGGGCTTACATAATGATGACATAGGATTTCAGGGATTTGGAGTGAAGGTGCAAACTTGTAGTGGTTTCAGTAATCGCGGGCAGATCTACCATTAACCCCCAACCGTAAATCCTTTACAGAACCCGTATAACAACCCGAAACCCAAGACACTTTACCCCCTTAATTAGGCGCAAGGCTCCACGAGAAGATGTACAACACATCAAAAGCCCTAAACGCCAAATCAAACCTAAACCCACAAGGAGCCCTGAACCCAGAACCCCAAACCAAACCTAAAACCCTTATAAGGAGCCCTGAACCCAGAACCCCAAATCAAACCCTAAACCCTTATAAGGAGCCCTGAACCCAGAACCCCAAATCAAACCTAAACCCTTATAAGGAGCCCTGAATCCAGAACCCCAAATCAAACCCTAAACCCTTATAAGGAGCCCTAAACCCAGAACCCCCAAACCCTAAACCCTAAACCCTGAACCGAAGGCTCCACGAGAAGATGTACAACAAGCCCTTTCTGTTGGAGAACTTGGCCTCGGAACGCTTCCTTCTCCACGAGCGGCCGCCTCTGACGGAGGACACCTCCAGGCCATGGGGTTTAGGGTTTAGGGTTTGAGGTTTAGGGTTTAGGGTTCAGGGTTAAGGGGTTGCTGGTCGGTGTTGGGTTTAGGGGTTTATAGGGCTTTTTGGGGGGTTCACGTGGGCTTTCATGACCAGGGTTGTCTATTTGCCTCGGTGTGTTATTGAGGATTTGTTTGGTGAGTGCTTTGTAGAGGTTCGTTAGCCGAGTTTGTGCGCTAATAAGCACGTTTTGGTGTAGCATCACCCTCACTGAACGCTAAACCCTAAACCCTAAACGTTTTTGGCCAAGCCCTCCACCCAAACTCCAGACCCTACACCCCGAGCCGCGAAGCCCTCCTCCCAAGCCCTAAACCCTAAAGATGGATCCCTAAACCCCAATCTCCAAACTTTCTCGGCTCTTATAACTTAGCAGCAATCTGAAAGTTTAACCTTTTTTTTCCGGGCGTATTTGGGGAAGTAAGAACCCTAGAGCCTAAACCTTAAGCCAATCTCTAAACCCGAAGTGCCAGCGGGGAAGGTCGGATCCCATCAACACCTACATGGCGGAGCTCCCGCAGAAGGAGACGACCGGGGGCCTTTAACGTGGGTTTCGGGCTTAGGGTCTAGAGTTTAGGGTTTAGGGTTTCGGGCTTCTTGGGGTTTAGGGTCCCTAAACCCTAAACCCTAAACCCTAAACCCTAAACCCTAAACCCTAAACCCTAAACCCTAAACCCTAAACCCTAAGTCTAGGGCTTCAGGGCTCAGGGTTTAGGGTCTTTAAAGGGTTTAGGCCGTAGGGTCCAAAGAGCTTCGGGCCTAGAGTCGGTTCCGTGCCATGGCCTTAACATTTCAAGAGGGATCTCGGGGCTTAGACTTGGGGAGTTAGGGTTGTTGTGGGTTGTGTTTTGCTTGTTGTTTGTGTTCTCTCTCTCTCTATGTATATATATATATATATATGTATGTATATATATATATATATATATGGTACGCATACATATATATATATATATATATATGTATATATAGATATATAGTTTCTATGCATATATAGGTGTGTCATGGGTTTGAAACCACACAGAGTGTTGGATGTAGGGTTCATGCAGGGTTGTTTGGTGTTTCTGTAGCGGCTCTTGAACTCTGTCGGTTTGGGGCTTGGGGTCTTGGGCTTCAGACGATTGACAGGTTTAGGGCTTGCTGCTTGGAGTAAACCCTAAGCCCTAAGCCCTAAGCCCTAAACCCCAAACCCTAAACTTTAACCGTTTTGGGGGCTGATAGGGCCAGTGTGATGAAATTAGGGACCTTAATCGTTCGAGTAGGGTCTTGGGGTTGTTTTACAGTTTCATTACAACAAGGAGCGCTAAGGAATCATATGAATATAAGTTTAGGGTTTAGGCTTCTATATTACTTTAAGAGCCCCCCGAATAAAGTACAAGAGCCGGCCCAAGAATGATCGTTTCGTCAAGGTCTCAAGTTGTGCATGAGGGTCTTTGGGTAGGCAGCGTAATCAGGGGCTTGAGCTCTACTTAGTTTTGGACTTTTATTTTTGGCTTTGGGGGTTTAGATTTGCTGCTGGGGAGTTAACGCTTTGATTACATCGACGAGTTGAAGTTATCCTGTAGCTGATTAGGTGACCTTTATTATTCCTTTTTGATAGACTGACAGACCAACCAAAACATGAACTTGGCCCTATAAGCCCTAATCCCCAAACCCGCAACCCTATACAAAACCCTATAAAGCCCCAAGCTCCGTTGCGGAGCCCGTCTAGTAAGCCCTCATAGAAACCCCAAAGAGCCCTTGAAAGGCGCCTCGCACCAATACGCACGGAGCACGGGTCCGTGCTGAGGAGACGATGCCGATGCCCTTCAAGAACGAGGGCACCGAGGCTCCCAGATCGATAATGCAGAAAGGGTTTAGGGTTTAGGGTTTAGGGTTTAGGGTGCCAACTCGATTTGGGGTTCAGAGTTGGGATATTAGGGCTTTACAGGGAGTTTGGGTTTAGGGTTTAGGGTTTAGGGAGATTGTTGTTTCGCTTGCAAAGTTCTTCCAAAATCCCTGATATAAGGTATCTTTCCCAATTCAGGGATCTTGGAAGATCTCGGTAACCAGGCCGGCTTAGGGTTTAGGGATGAGGAAGAATAGAAGGCTTCAAGTTTTAAACCCTAAACCCGAAACCCTAAACCTTGAGGAGTGTGAGTTTAGGGTTTCTCGCATTGAGTATAGAACGATTGCTTCCTAAGTCGTATTAGGGCGACCCCTTAAAAGGGGCCCCTTCTTAACCCTACTTATGGCTCTCCCCAGAAAGGGACCTTATTGACAGCGTCTGTATCCCAAAATGGTCTCCTAATCCTAACTCCTATTGCACTAATTGCTGGTGACAAACAAGATCCTGCATTGAACTTTTGGTAGAGAAGCCCCAAAGTTGGAAACCCAATAGCCTCGATCCTTTAGAATACCGTATAGGGAATCCCAGCACGAATCCCTTATTCTGGCTTCTAACTTCTTGGGGTTTACTATATCGTAGGCCAATGCCGCGGAGGCATGACGGCCCCTGCGTAAGAACCTTGGCCGTTGCGAGGGCTGCCTTGGGGCAGGGGTGGGGTGCTTGCAGCTTTTAAGGTAAATGCGGAAACCCTGAAGCCCGAAAGCCCCGAGCCCTTAAGCCTAACCCTAAACCTTTTTCAGGCCCTAACCCTTAAATACCCTACACCCAAGAACCTCTACAGAGCTCTACAGCAGCACCTGAGCCATTCCAGGCCAATGCAATAACCATCATCCAGAAGAAGCAGTGGCGCCGGGGCTTCTGGCAAGGCCGGGTCGGTATTGATGACCCAGATCTTCCAAAATCCCTGAACTAGGGGTTTACAGAGTTTAGGGTTAGGAATAGATTTTAAATCTTCGGGACACTGCTGTTGAAATTCAAAGCCTATTCCTCAGAATCATAAGGATGTATTTGGATGACTTGTGCGTTGGGCGAAGACTTTGTGTGGGGTCTTCGGATATGCAGTTTGGTGGAGCAGCCTCATGCGTGGAGTTGAAAGTGGTTAGATATAGGCCTCAACGAAGGATTTCACCTGAATCTTAAGACCCTAGCAAGCCTAAACCCTGAATCCTAAAGCCTAAACCCAACCCTAAAGCCTAAAGCCTAAACCGTGCTTCTCAAGCAAGCTGCGCGAATAGGGTTTTGGGGTATATTATAGTATAACTATAAAAAGGAACCACCTACAATACGCTTAAAGTCAATCAATCATTCCCTGCCCTCCCCTCTCCTCCCTGCGGTGAACGATCGAACAATCCGAAAGCCTTTGTGCTTAGACCCTAAACTTGCCCTAAACCCCGACAGAACCGCGTGCTCGTCCCTTCAACGCGTCTTTCGAGGTGTGGAGAAGGCAGGCAGCACCTACTTGCAAGGCACCTTCGAGAGAACTGGAAGTTCAGGAAAATGTGGGGTTTAAGGCTGTGGATTTACGGTTTAGGGCGTTTGGGCTTTTTGGGGCTTTAGGCTTAGTTTTTTTTTTCGAGATTAGGGCAAAAACTCTGGAACTTTAAATTTGTACAACTCGCAGTATTAGTTACTTGCTTTTGAGATTGCAGTCTTGTAGGTCAGTATTATTCCCAAGGCTTGTGGCGTTGGGTGCTTGGGCTCTTAGGGTTATAGAGCCCTCAAGGGCAGTATTCGCACTTTGCGCACCCCTCCCCAACGCAAGCAAAGTATTCTAGTCCTGTGAGACTTCTCTGTCAAGTCAAGGCAAGGTGTAAGAGAATTAGCTCATGCGAGCTCTAATCCCAGAATGCCGGAAGCCAAAGTCGAAGGCCCTAAAACCTTACCCAACACCCTAGACCGTAATCTGAACCCCTGTAAAGACCCTAAACCTTCTTTAAGCCCTCACAACCCTAATCTGTATGAACGTCTAAACCCGTATGAAACCGAACACCCCAAACCCTCATGAAGCCCGAAACCCTAAACCGAAATCTCTTTATCGAGCCTATGGTAACCCGTGATAGACCCGTCAGGACATTTCGAACCAAGACACCTCGGAACCCGAAGGGCTCATGTGATCTCCAGAGGTTTAGGACCGTCTGAAGAGGGCTTGAGGCTTAGAATTTGGGTCTTAGGGTTTGGGATTAGGGTTTAGGGTTTGGGGTTATTTGAGTTATGAGTTTTAGGGTTTAGGGTTTGGGTTGAGGGTTTGGGGCTTGGGTTAAGGGTTTTGGGGTTTCAGGATTTAGGGTTTAGGATGAGGGTTTACGGTCAGGAGGCCTTTTCAGACTATGTGGTAGGCCGTATGATTGCAGCAATGCAAGCGCGAAGCCTTTGTCTATCTCTAGCTGTCCGTCTGTCTCTGTCTTCTTCTGTGTATATACAAAGACTATGCAAGTAACATACATACATGCATACATACCTGAGTTTGTGTGTACACGTGCAGCTATGTATACAGAATCTTACATATTCTTCCCTGCATGGCTGCTCATATCCTCCTTGTTCAGTCCTCCCTTTCCTCCAAGTAAGGGCTCAGGCAATTCCAGCCTAAACCCCTCAGCCCTCTAGAACCCCCAAACCCCTAAACCCCAAACCCATAAACCCGAACCTAAACTCAGAAAGGCTTGCAAGGTCTCGAGTTCGATGTCGGAATGCCTGGCAGCTTCTGAGTCTTCTGTTTGAGCGTGGTTCCAGTGGCAGTTCAGAACGGATCCTCATATATAAGTCTTCAAAAGGAATCCTATGTTGCCGGATTTTATATGATGGTCCCCTATGGGAACCTCGCCAGGGCAGATGATGCGTGCCGATGGCAAGACGGTGCCCACATTCAACTTCCTCTCGTCAGCTCCCGACACTGGCTTTGACTTCACGAAGCACCTGCGACAGGAGGACCACCCTTAAGGGGCTTAGCTTTGTGGCCTAAACCCTAAACCCTCTTATGGGCTTCACGTTTGGGGTGGGCCTGCGGCACTGTTTTGAGTTGAAAGGTTGGTGGCCTGCGGTTGGAGATTATGCTTCAGAAACCAGGGAATCTGAACCGAGGCATGTATGAATTGTATTAATTACAATAATATATAGAGGTCTTATTGAATTTGGGTCAAACCTAGCTTTTAACCAAAATAGATCTGTTCCATCAACCAGGGTTTCGCTCTTGTGCACGGACGTTAAACAAATAACTGAATTGAACTTATCATCAAGCATGCCCAATGATCATTTTTCAATCGCACGTGCTGTCTTGAGAGCAGCCGCCAGCCGCAAGAATGGCTTGCACCAAGCAAAATGGCAAGAAGCGACGAATCTTGAGAGCAGAAAGCAACAAGTAGAATTTCTCTTTGCAAAGCACAGGTCATGAACAGGCTGTAGCATGTCTCAGATGGAGAAAAGGGTTTTCTAGAACCAAGAGCAACAGCAGGTTGACAGCTGCTGACCCCTTCCAGCTATAGTCTCCGTTGTGGTTCCTTTTTCGGTTATTTTATAGGACCCTAACTCTAAAATTGGTTAAGCCAAAGAAAGGAACTAATACGGAGGCTTTCGGTAGGGTTTGAGGTCGTTAGGCTTTGGATGTATCCGGCTGCAGGACCTTTCTGACGACTGCCATGATCGCTGGACCTTCGTTCCCAAGGACGGCGACGGGCTTATGAAGGTTCTTCTAAAACTTACTGTAGCCTTAAACCCGAAACCCTCAACCCTTAAGAATGTAATCTAATACCTATATATACATACGCACGTACATACATACATACATACATACATCCCAAACCTTAAGCCCTAAACTCTGTAAAAACCTGTAAGCGCTAAACCCGAAACAGTAAACTCAAAATCGAACTCTATAAAAACTCTATAAAGCTCTAAACCCTAAACCCTAAAATCCTAAAACCCTAAACCCTAAACCCTAAAACGCTAAACCCTAAACCTGAACCCGGCCTAGCATCCGCAGGAGCGTGGCTACGAGCTGAAAACGGACTGCGAACAACCGGAGTTCCTTCCTCAGGGGGTTTAGGGTTTTAGGGTTCAGGGTTTTAGGGTTTAGGGTTTAAGGTTTAGGGTTTATAGGGTTTAGGGTTTAGGGTACAGTGCAGTAGAGTCTGCAGATCATCTTGGGCCTTATCTCCCAATAATATGAGAGTAAGGGGGCTTAGGATAATCTACGTACTGTAGATTCTACTGTTGAGTTTAGGGTGTAATATGGAATCCATTGCCAATGATGTCTTAGGGATTCTGAATACAGATACAGGTCTTCAGTGTTCAGGGGCCGATTTTTGCAGATAGGGGCTTCTGGATTGAAGGTCGTGGGATTTAGGGAGTTTAGGTTCACGCTCCAAGGGCTTGTAGCGGTTTGGTGTAGGGCTCGGTCTTTGGCGAGGGCCTTAAACTGCATGGCCTAGAACCCGAGCTTTGAGGTTCGCGCCGAAAGCACAACAGCAGCTAAGTAGGGTTTAGGGCTTTAGGGTTTAGGGTTTAGGGTGGATTAGGGTCTTGGAGGCTATTATGCTACATGTGGAGATTGTGCGGGAGTGCTTTTGCTAATTCTCCGGAAGACCGCGTGCTGATGCTCCTTCCCCAAACCCTAAACCCTAAACCCTAAACCTAAACCCTAAACCCTAAACCCTAAACCCTAAACCCTAAACCCTAAACCCTAAACCCTGCTCCTCCCACTGGCACCGATGTGAAATCAAGCCTTCTTGCAGGCCCCTAAGGGTCCAAAGGACCTAATAATCATGTACTTGGGTTACGGATAGTAGTTTTGTAGGATAGTATTCAGAAGAGTATATGATTGTTA